CAACAAAGCAACAACAACAACAACTAGTGTTTTTCCTCTTGGATGTTCACTTTAAATTAATAATTTTTCTTGCGTCTGTTTACATCCCCTAAATATTATTATTATTATTACTATTATTATTATTATTATTATTATTATTATTATTATTATTATTATTATTATTATTATTATTATTATTATTATTATCATCATTATCATTATTGAATAATTGAACCGAAACCGTAGTCCCCTGAACATCCATGTCAACAGTAAACAACTGAAACAGGTGAAGCGGTTTAAATATCTTGGCAGTACTTTCAGAAAACGGGTCCACAGACAGAAAAATAGAAATGCGAACTCAAAAAGCCAACGCTGTCCAAACTTCTACATGGACACAAAGAAACAGCTTATCACCTCAATATTCGTAACAACATTATGCTACCAGTGCCAGATCTGGACATTAACCCTATCCGTATGTCGTGTTTTACTATCGTATCCATACGATGTGGGGAACTCTGTGCCAACACTTTCCAAAAAGGAAATTGATTTACTCGTTACTCCGATCCGTATGCTTTGCATAGCAGTCTGTCAAAAGGGATTTTTAAACTATTTAATACTGAAAATTTCAAAGAGATCTTCGCACTAGAAGTGTTCTAAAGTGTGGAGAATACAACCCCGGGGGAACAAAATGACCCCAGGGCGTACGCATAGGGTTAAGTAAAACTCATGAAAGCAAAATCACCACATGTGAAATGAAACGTCTTCGCAAAACCCTTAACATCACAAGACGAGATAGGCAGAGAAAGGAAGAAGTAAGAGCAGCTATCGGAATTACAAAGATAGACAAAGAGTAAAATGGTTTGGCCACCTGTTGCGTATGTCACCTAGCCAGCTACCCTAGAGTCTACAACACCAAGCACTCAGGCTTTAAAGGAAGAGGAAGGCCACGCAAAAAGTGGATCGAGGATGTCAAGGAAACCCTGAGAAAACGTAAAATATCACAACTAAAAGAGCTGCGGAGTTGGCCTACCATAGAAAACTGCATCTCCCCTCGATGCTAAACAGAGGATGAAAAGTAAAAGTAAAGTAAGTAAGTATTATTATTGAAACTAAAATTATTGTTTCTATGAAATGTGGGGTTTTCTCTTTCAGGTCTTGCTGTGTCCGATCTGCTGTCCCTTGTGTCTATGATCTTCATAAGTATCTGCTTCAACCCGCTGTTTGCAAACGCCCCTCTTCCCTTTAGCGTGGATGAGATCATGTACATGGTAGGAGGGCCTCCTCATGTCTGCTTCGCCAGGTGTGATATCATAAAACTATATTATATTATAATATATTATACATTTGAATAATATGTATATATATATATATATATATATATATATATATATATATATATATATATATATATATATATATATATAATATAATAATTATTTTATTAATAATAATAATAATAATAATAATAATAATAATAATAATAATAATAATAATAATAATAAAAATAATAATAATAATAATAATAATAATAATAATAATAATAATAATAATACAGGGGGATCCCAAAAAAACCTTTACAACTTGTTTTTTTAAATATCTTCCGCCATGCTAAAGTTTTGCGATTCAGATTTGAACATAACGTTTGGAAGCCAAAAGGAATTTGTCTGATATGTATTTTAGATAAGTCCATTGAATGGTTTTGCTCTATATAGCGCATTAAAAAAACAACCCATTTTTCAACCTTGTCGCCATTTTCATAGCGTGACGCACCAGTTCACCATAGGCCTACCTCTAAAAGTTGCAACAATCAGGCCATATTGCAAGCTACAGCAGTCTAACAAGTCAACAGAAGTCTGCAGATATTATTTTTCCCAAATTTTGTTCGCCTGCTTAGATCAGGGTTACGTTTAATAAAGAGCAGAGAGCTTTTTGTATTGAACATTACCTCTCCACAAACTCACCATCCCTGACATTCCGTAAATTCTGCGCAAGTCATGCTTATGTACCCTCAAGACCTTTGGCGTCATGAGTAGAGACGTTCCTTCAGTTTGGATCTATAGCAAATCAGAACTAAAAAGTTCTTTAAAACATGACCACTTCAGGTCGAACACGCACCATGCGCAGCCCTTTAAACGTCAGCAGAGTGCAGATTTCAGTAGCCGAGTTTCATGAGACGTCTGTCCGTAGGCGATCTGCAGCTAGGACTTTCGTACACATTGACAGTCTGCATTCTCATGGCAGATCTTAACCTAAGACTATAACATGTTCATCTTCGCTAGGCCGAGATGACAAGGATCAGGGCATGGCAATGTGCTCATGATTCCTCGATTGTCTTGTAAAGAGGGATCATTTCCTCATTGACATTTGGTTTAGTGCAAAGCCCATTTTCACCCTGCAGGATATGTTAACTTCAAAGATGCTGTCTATTGGGCACCCCAGTTTATTGTCTCTAGAAGCCACTTCTTAGTGAACATGTACAGTGTATGAGGCTTTAAAAATTCATAGTTTAGCAGGTCCTCGTGTTAGGGCGCCACTGAACATTTCGAACGACGCGTTACAAATGTGTCGAGTCCAAAGGAGGGAATGTGGAGCACTGCTTCTAGGAATTTCAAAATGGAATCATTAGGTTTTTTAAACTCTGTAGAAGAATTAAAATATTGTTTAAATGTGACAGGGATGGAAAATTAATGCCAAAGAGAAAATAAAGAAAAAGGTCAACTAATCTTTTCACGACTTCCTTTACAAGATTTTTAAACATTGGTGAACTTTGCGTTTTTGGGTGCTTTTTTCTTTTAGGCGTTCCCGTTTTCAAAACATGTTTCTTCTTCGTATATTTTATATCAAACAAATTCCTTTTGAATGAATTATGTCTGTTCCAAATTACAGCATTCTAGAACAATTTTTGCGCGAGATATTCAGAAAAAAAGTTGTAAAGTCTTTTTTTGGATCACCCTGTAATAATAATAATAATAATAATAATAATAATAATAATAATAATAATAATAATAATAATAATAATAATAATAATAATAATAATATATGGGTGCTTATGTGTGTGTGTGTGTGTGTGTGTGTGTGTGTGTGTGTGTGTGTGTGTGTGTGTGTGTGTATGTGTGTGTGTGTGTGTGTGTGTGTGTGTGTGTGTGTGTGTGTGTGTGTGTTATAAATTTCCCTCACTCCAGGGTGAGTTTTTCAAGACGTTCATGAGTCAAGATCAGCTCCTGACCGTTTCAAACATAAAAACAGTTCAGCTAATTAAATTTTTACTATCTTGAGCGTTATTTTTGTCTCATGGTCAGGATTACTGAATCGTTTTTTGGGTCTTTTTCAATTAACTTTAAATTTTGGTTGGAGCAGTGCGTACATTAAAACGTTTTTTTTTACCCCCCCCTCTCCCACAGAATCACAAGCTTAATCACCGCGTTCATCACCTTCGAGAGGTGCCTGTGCATCGCCGTTCCTCTGAAGGTCAAGAGGATTATTACTCCCGGAAGGACGAAGGCTATCACCTTATTCTTCTTTATCCTCATATTCAGTGTATTTTCTCCTTTTTATTACGGGAACAATTTAGTTTGGGCTTTTGATACCGCAAGAAACGCCACCATGTTCAAAATTGTATCCAGGGATAATCACGTCTTGTTGGAAACCATTACTTTCATCACGCACGGAGTGGTGATCTCCACGTTTTCCTTCGTCTTCACCATCTTCTGCACCATCGTTCTTGCTTTTAAACTAACCAGTAAAACAAAATGGCGGCAAGCCACAGCTACCAGAGGCGATGGATCGTCGGAAGGAAGAGGGCTCAAGGATAAAAGGGTCGTGAAAATGGTGGCGTTTATCTCTACTATGTTCATAGTTTGTTTCTTGCCTGCCACCTTGCTTCATTTTGTTATGGCTCTCGAACCCAACTTCCGTTTTGGAAAAACGTATCACAACGTTTACATGATCTCGTGGTCTGTCTCGTTCGTCACGGAGACAGTCAACTCCAGTTTTAACTTTTTCGTGTACCTGAAAATGAGTTCCAAATTTCGAACTGTGTTCCTGAAAACGTTTTTGAATTTGGAGGAAAAGAAATGAAGGAAATGAAATTATGTTGTTAACAAAATATTAAAGAGGAAGAAAAAAACACAACGTTCGTCGCTGTATTTTTAAGAAGAAGAAAAAGTTCTATTCTTCTCATGGAAAATACATGTCACTGACAACTTTAAGAAGACAAGACTCGTGGTAGAATATGGCATGGGCTGCTCATTTCAACACTCAAAGGTTTGACATCTAAGAGGTGAAACCTCCAAATATAACGTCCATCTCCGATAGGACCAATCCAGGTTGGTGAAGAGCCCACAAAATGCCCCAAATCTCCCTGCATTCTAAATTGCTCTTTTAGATATTTGATAGGCATGATGAGATGTACCAAATGAGCTGACAGAAACGCTGTTAAAATCGCCAGAGGCAGAACACCTCATCGTGATTGATTTTCTCACCGTAGATCAGGGTATAGGCCACGAACAAACGCTTTCCACCTTTTCCCATCCTGGAATATCCTCTTGATGTACAGATAGGTGGAGAAGAGTCACAGAGAACGATAATATCATTTCATGTGTTCCCAGTTTCCACACGTTGCCTTGGGTAAGGTGGTTTAAAATCCAACACTTTCTTGTGTTAATGTTATGCAGCTGCCTGGCTTCCTGACAGTGAAAGTTTGTGCGTCGCCACTGGCTTTCTTCTTTTCTTTTCATCTCCGTTCTTGTATCTTGTTCTCCGGAACACTTCCCCATTGGTGACCCTGTCTGTCCATCTAATCGTGGTTAACTTTCTCACTCGCTTCGCTACCCTAGAATTACAAAGTTGGTTTTTTCTTGTGCTCAGTACCTACTTTTGAGAAAATTTACTTTAACAATTTTGAGTTTCACAACATGGCTAAGCTTTTTCGAATGTAATTCTTTGATCATCGGGATATGGGCTCCAAACAATCTTACGATTTTGACAGAGCAGATAGAACAATCTTTGAGTTGTAGCAGAAACCGTGGTTATCTCACCAGAGTCCTATTTGCCAGAACGTTTCTCAGTGACATGGCTCCTCGGCTAGCGTAACGCCTCGGAGACGTACTGCCAAAGATCGTGTCTGTATACCAAGATGTTTCGATTGCCCTATCTCACGTCAGCGCGAGACTTGGGTGCGCCCTTGTGTTAGCGAGTACGCCGAGAGAGAGAGAGAGAGAGAGAGAGAGAGAGAGAGAGAGAGAGAGAGAGGGGGGGGGGAGGTGTTTGTTATTATAATAAAAAATTATTGTCCCCTGATGTTTTCTCTCTGCGTCGGTTTTCAGGCTGACCCGGTGCTATACAGTCTTTATTGTACACAGATGCCCGTCCCATCTTCCGAATCCTACCTTCTGTTTCCCATCTCTCACCTCTTGTTTCCCATATGTACCGTATCCAAATTTCCTTATCCCATATCACAACTTTACTTCTGTAAGCACTCTTCGTTTCCCTTCATCTCATGGTGTGGAACGCTTGAATCAGGCCAAAATATAAAAAAATACATCACTTTCGCTAATGTTCAAATCAGATGTGCTGTTCAAGCACATGTTTTCAACAGCCTGATTTAATACTGTTTTATGCGGACTCAAGATTTGGTCTCTATGATATATCCTCTTCTGAAGAGACTTTATTTTTACTTTCCCTAACTTACAATTCGCCCAGGACGACTGCAGGGATCCATAACAATATGATGTCAATTTGGTCAGATTATTGCAGTCAGATCAAACTTTCATGTAAGAAATGTATTAATATGGCTAGACTATTATAAAAAACGCCCCCTCTCGAGAGAGGTAATGTGACTCTCTTTACACAGCACCAGTCGTCATATTTCTAGAATCCAGATGATGGGGAAACAACTAGTTGTTGTTTGATATCACTAAGAAGAGACAAGGACAGTTTGAATCTGCCAAACATTGTTTTAAAAGATCGTAACATCATGTCTTAAAGAAATTGTAAAGCAAGACTGCATTGTGTCGCCACAATACATTCACTTCTTAAGTTAGACAAAGAAATTTACTCTAATAGCAGGTAATATCATTATTTGTCTTGTAATTCTGTAATTAATATGATGTCGACCAGAACAACGAGCTAGATTAACTACGACACTATAACCATCGTTGTGATATCAAATTACTGGACAACAAACCACATGAGCTCGATCGGTGAACATCTTACAGCTTAAAATCATTAAATAATTTTCCTCGCTTTTATTTGCTGATTTTCAGTCTTCTTTTCTTCCTTCTCCTCCAACTACTCAATCCCAACCCTTTTTTTCTTTTTGTTTTTGTTTGTCAACAATTCTCGTTCCATAGATTTAGCCTGTACCATTCTATACCTCCTCTTCTCCTCCCTCCCATCTCTCCCTTCTGTTTCCTCTTCTTCTCTCTCCTCCTCCTCCTTCATCTCTATCCCCTCCCTCCCTCCCCCCTCTCTCTTTCGCTCTCTCTCTCTCTCTCTCTCTCTCTCTCTCTCTCCCCTCTCTCTCATTTATCTAAACTGCCAAAAGTGGCGAGGAGACACAGAGCTTAACCACCCTTCACACCGGTCGACGAACCTCACTCTCCTCCATCTTTCCCCTTCCCTCTAATCCATCCTCCATTTCCTCTCTTTCTTCCATCCCCCCTTTCCTCCTTCCCAATTCAAGAGCGCCCAGTCTGGGACTCGAACCAGGGCCGTCCACTGAGTAGTCCAGCGTGGTATCAACTGAGCTAATGGGGCGTAGTTTGTACCTTGTATATTCCACAGCCAACCGAAATACATTAGATAAAGCTTATCTCACGTACATATCAAATTGACGGGGTTGACTTGAATAAAAAAGATGAAAACTTCCTCAGTCTGAACATGTGGCGCCACCTTCATGTACACAGGGAACATACAGGCATGTGCTCGGTCACGGCATTCGTCACCTTCACCTTGTGCAACAGCAAAGCCTGTAAGGCGAACTGATAGTGAAAAAAGGGATTCAGAGAATTGCTGAATAGTATTCTTGACTGGGGATAGACAAAAGACGGCATTCTCTGAAATGACCTTTAAGTTGTTGGGTTTTTTTTCGCTTTGTATTGAAATTTTAATTGGAGAATTGTATCTTAAACTAGAAGACAGAGTTATTCATAATGTATTTAAAAATATTACTTTAATGTTTATATGGGCTTTCAATATCCATCGATCATAAGGCCGTATTGGGGTAACGTGCACACAGCTACGCCTATTCTTTTGATAATAAGCTGAAAAGATTGACAAAAAAATGAAACATTTTTTGAAGTCTAGAAAGGAACAATAGTTTGCCAAATGTCTTCGTAACACATTGGTGCCGTGAAAAGGCCTCAGTGCTGATAAGTTTCAGTCCCCACTTACCCTCCATGAAGACAGCGAAAACAATGCTGTGTAATATTCTCATCTTGAGGCGGTAGAATTTGAAAACAAGTCTGAATTCCTGAGAAACATGTTTTAAAAATGAAAAGAATATTATTCGAATATCCAGTTTCGCTTGTATTATAAACATACTATAATAATAGTTCGTCTCTCAGTGTCTAACTATGACCAATACATCCTTATATAGGAGAATATTTCTTATGTGAAGTAAAAGAATTAGAAAATGTAAACGTTGAGATAACTTGTGGCTTCTGCTGTGGCCGAGAGATCATTTCAGGCAGATAAAATTGTGCCACATTTTTGAGCATTCTAAAGCTCCACTACTACTTGTGGCCAGATGTACGCAGTTTGCTGGCTTCTGTCTTGGTTTCGGTATTTCTTATTCGTGAAGCCTCCTATGACTCCCTACCCACTGTGACTGCTGTGCCCTTCAACTGTGATGGCAGGAGCTAGGCTCTCCCATGTCGAAGGATTTATGTTGAAGTCCTTCAGAGACATTTTCAGGGTGTCTTTGTAGCACACACCTGCTCAAAAGGTGGTAATTGGCTTTGATAGTTTCTATACCGAGCTGAGCAGCCTTTTACGGACAGCACTGCTCACTCCACAAGGGGGAGGGAGGTACACTAAAGCACTAAAGAAATCTCACCTCGTCTACCCGGCCTGGTTCACCGCCATCAGAAGAGTTGCCACAAGGCGGTCGAAATAATAAGAGACTATTCCTGCAGATGCCTTTGCTTCGTATTGTTGATGTACTGTCAGAACTATATTGTCAAATGTGATAATGTTGGAGTATTCCTCTAGAGTACAGGGATGCAGCTGTCATTCATCTATACAAAAAACAACAGCAAAGGTGACAGTCAATCTTGTGACAATCACAGAAGAATATCTCTCTTGGAAAAAGCTTGAAAAATCAGGGCTCGAAATCTTGCCTGTTGAAACATGTCTCTCCGAAAAAACGCTTGCAGTATAACCCTGTTATATTTGGTAGTTCACTATATCTGCAGTGCAGCACAATTTGGAAACCTGCTTGTGAGGTGTAATGATATTTTTTTCATTTGTTTGGGTTTTCTTGACTTTTTTGTTGTTGTACACAAAAGAGTTCATTCAGCTGCTGAGGAAAGTATTCTTTTTGTATGTAATATCTTAGTTTGTTTGTTGGGATAGTATGTCCAATTAAGCCCGAGCTGACCCTGACAGACAGGCAAAGCTGACGATCTGTCTTCTCTAATTTCTACAATTATGTTGATAGGGGAGCGTGCATTATTTCCAATAAAATCACACAACTCAAGTTTAAGAGTTCTGGTTTCTTTTTTATGCAGATGTTTTTACATCACCATAGACGTAATTTAATACATAATACATTATAGTAGGTGGGCTTCAACCCTGTCAGTCACAGCAAACCCGTGTTGCGAGAGAAATATGTTCCCAGCAGAAAGGCTGAGATTTTAGGAGGAAAAAGAATCTCCATACACGGAAATCAAACACGTGTTTTCTCAGGCTTTAATTAAATAAAGAACTTTATTGCTCCTCTAGTATGGACAGCAATAGTGCATAATCAACACACCTGTGACGTAACAGTTTCGACGTTTCCGAACATAAAATCTTTCATAGCCTTTAGAGCTTTCTCAGGTCAACTATGTTGCCGTTTAGCTGTAATTTGTCATGAACCATGTTCGTCTCACGACAAGATAATGATACGGGTGACGCCAAAGGTAGGTTCCGCATAAATTATTATGTTTATACGTCACTCTTATTGCGACTATACCTGGCTTTTGTTTTGTTTTTTGATGTTAAAGCAGGTTCCAGTATTGTTATTTACGACGAACATCAGAAAAGATAAAGGGGCTCTCATGGTATAGAGGTTAAGGTTTTGGCATCTCATTCAAAGGTCCCGGGTTCGATTCCGGGTAGCGACCGAAAAGTTTTCTTCTGTAAAATTGTCTCCTTTCACTTCCTTTCCTGCTCTTTATCAATGTTCTGTCGTCTGCTTTTGTCTCCTCTTTCTGTCCCCACCCCCTCCCGTCCTTTGCCCCTGGGCTCCTGACTCTTTCTGCAGCCTTTCTACTGCTACTCCTTGGCGCCTTCTTACAGCTGCCTTTCAGCCACACCCCTGATCTTCTGGTGGGAAAGATCTACACCTAGCCTTCTTGGACAAGGGCGAAAAATCTCGGAGGTCCCGTGTGCAAGTTGCGCACGTTAAAGATCCCTTGGGGGTCTAATATCGATAACAGTTGTTTCAGCCCCCACCCGGGCAAAATTTCAAAATTTCCTATCAACTGAAAAAGGTTAATATATAATGTGTCCTACGCGCTCATATGACCTTATGTAGTTGAGAGCGCCGTAAAACACGTACCTAAAAGAAGGGAGAGAAAATAAAAGAAAAGATAAGTCGTTGTATCACACGTATTATTCCCCTTAGAACGTTCATGTATAATTGTTATCGTGATGAATTGATGATGATGATGATGATGATGATGATGATGATGATGATGATGACGACGATGATGACGATGATGATGATGATGATGATGATGATGATGATGGTGATGATGATGATGATGACGATGATGATGATGATGATGATGATGATGATGATGATGATGATGATGATGATGACACAATTTAGATCATGTAAGTGGCGGTATTCGACCTTGCCAGTTAATGAACCTTTCCGTGTACAAAGAGCTTAAATCACTTGCTATTGTGCATCATGATGTAAAGTGTGCACATACTTTTATTTCCATAGCGTAGTCATTATTTATTTACATGTTCCCGACGAAGTCCTCAGGGTGAAATGTTGAACTTTTTCATTGATTCAGAATTTTGAAATTCTACAGTCTCGGCTTTTTTTTTGCTTTTTATTTTCGAGCTTTCAATAATGACAATGATGATGATGATGATGATCATGATGATGATGATGATGATGATGATGATGATGATGATGATGATGTAATTAAATATTTTTGAAATACTACCAGGTCTTAACCATTTTACTATCTGCTGTACAAAAAGATGATGATGATGATGATGATGATGATGATGATGATGATGATGATGATGATGATGATGATGATGATGATGATGATCACGATGATGATGATGACATATCAAACTTGAGGAATATGGCATCAACTGAAAACCAACGAAAGTGACGTGTCTGTTTTCGGTAGAAATTGCTATTCTTTGATGCCAGAAATAACTCATTTTGTGAACACTCCTCGCATAAACGAATTTCCCCTTATTAAGAATAAGCAACTGCACAGGTTGCAGTGACATCTTTTTAAACGTTCTCCATAAAACAGTTCAAAAAATGACAGAGAACCAGTTTAGGGAATTACAAGTAATTACAAACGTCTGCACAAAAGTGAAGAGGTTAAACAATAATGGATGAGTGCGCATTTATCACCTCGTTTGCGGTAATGACATACAATGTAGTTGAAAGTAAAACGTTTTAGCCGGGACCGAAAGCTGAAAGCTTGAAGACAACACTTCATCATTATGTTACATTTCACACAAAATGTCAGAAGAGTTTTCCCTAAAGTACTTGCCGAGATAGAAGCGAATTATATAATTGCTTCACATACAAAAGAATCTATCTATCTATCTATCTATCTATCTATCTATCTATCTATCTATCTATCTATCTATCTATCTATCTATCTATCTATCT